TTATTATTAGCAGTAGGGTTTTTTAAAACTATTATGAGCGTGTTGTGTAAGACAAAAAGATATGACTTTGTTTGCAATCAGCAGTTCTCCAATTTAGCTCTGGTGCACTACACCGGGTAAAGCCCCTGGATCTTCTGCAGACAGGCACGACACTTCCTCATTTTTATGTGCTCAGTGCCTTAAACTGAAACCTAGGCACACAGACTATACTCAAATTCCCTAGCTCATAGCCAGCCCCATCTCAGCCAGGCCTCTGCCGGCCCCTCATTGCTCCAGGCCTCCCCCAATGGTCCTCCACCCGCCAAGCATCATGGGCAAGTGTGTGTGTGTGGGACCAGAGCCTTCCCCCTAGTCCTGGCCTTCAGACCCATTACTCCTACCCTGTGTTGCTGCCTTGATAGCCGTTTACTCCTACAAAGAGATTTTTAAACTACTATTTCATTGAACCCCCCTCCTCAGCCCTCTGAAAACTTCATTTTACAAATAAGGCCTTTTGAGAAAGGCCTAGTTGATGTAGCTTAGGCAGATTTGGGTTCAAATTCACTATTAGTCCTGTTGACCTTGAGCAAATCACTGATTCATTCACTCAAAAACCATGTATTCACTGAGTAAAGAACTGTCTTGGTGCCAGGAATACAGAGGCAAATGGGGGACACAGACACTGTTCTCCAGGATGACTGAGGCTTCATATTCCCATCTGTCACCATGGAAATGTTTGTCTTTATCTCAAAGACTGAAATAGAAATATATATATACACATATACACACACACATACACACACACATATACACACATACACACACACATATATACACACAGACATATACACACACATATACACACACATACACACATATACACACACGTATACACGCACACATATACACACACATATACACACAGACATATACACACACACATACATACACATATACACACACATATACACACACACATATACACACACATATACACGTGTATATGCACACATGTATGTGGTTTTAAATTCCATATAATTAGTATATATATTTTTAGTGTAGTGTATATTTAGAGTATCACATACAGTATTATGTATGATTTTATATGAGGAGGAAAGTTTGCACTGATAAGCTAAACAAATATTCAGGATGCCTGGGACACTTCCAAATACTGACTTGATCTCCCAGACCTGCAGGAAACTGCCTGTTCCTAGGACCCGTGAGTCCAGAGGTGTTTATGAAGCACTGGCCCAGGGCTGCATGCTGTGCTAAGCAATTGGTGGTTTCTCCCACAGTGTAGGATGGGGTCAAGAGCCTGCAGCAACCATCAGAAAACATCTAACAGCCCCAGGAGTCCCTGTGGAGGGCTATCTGTCCCAGCAAGGACACTTGAGTGATTTGAAACCCAGGCTTTGGAGGCAGAGGGACCTGGCTTTGCATTTCAGCCCTGCCATCTACCAGCTGGTGACTCTAGACAAGTTTCTTACCTCAGATGCCTCAAGTGAAAAAAAGCTGTGATCATAATACTGACTTCAGGGGACCGCTGAGAAAATCAAATGAGTTACTATGTATAAAATGCTTTTAAGGACCTGAGACCCGGTTTTCTCCTACCGCAGCCCAGACTTGGGGGTTCCCACTGGCCTGAGAGACTGGTGCCTCCTAGAGCCCCCAGCACCATCAAGTACGTCCCTGGACAGAGGCCACAGCAGCTCCTGGCCCTACAAGGGGGTGGTACAGGCCTCCCTCTCCACAGGGCTCAGCTCCAAGCAGTCCAGCTGGGTGCATCTGGCTGGGGAGATTAAATTATTTTTGAATTCCTAACTGAATGTTCTTTTAATGGAAACTTAATGACAGGCATTGAAATAGATTTCCTCCGTAACCCCTCCTCCCGCCACCCCCCACCGCGGCCCTGGGTTGCCCAGTTCCCGATAACCTTTATTCCCGACCCCTGGACTTTTATCTCCCCAATGACAAACACCCCGTGCAGGACAGAAAGAGGAAATTCCACTCATTGTTCTCAAACTTCTGGCTTCCAAAATAAAACGCTCTATCTCCCCTGTCAAGCTTTGATTGACACACACTTCCTGTAATGGCAGGCAGCAACGGCCAGGGGCGGGGCGGGCTCCTTTGCACTCTTTCCTTACCAGGGGTTCCTAACGTTTGTTCTAGACTGGGGGACCCCAAGCCATTCACGGAAGCCTCCTGTTGAGGGCCCATCTCCTGTTTTATGAAAACTCTCCAAGGATAACGATTCCTGCACTGTGTCTGCAGCCACCTGGGAAGTTCTTCCTTGAGTCCTCTGACAGGTCACAACGTGTCAGCCTGGAGGTAGACATTCTTTTTTTAAAATTTCAGATTAATATCAGAGTGCAGATGATTAGGTTACAATGTTTGCTTTTGTTAGGTAAAGCCCCTGTTGTAGTGTGGCCCTCCCCCTGACGTGTGCCATGTGCCCTTACCTTGAGCCCATTAGATGAGAGCTCACCTGCCCTCCCCCCACCTCTTCCTTCCCCCCCCACCCCGCTCACCCCCCCCCAACTAGAATTGAATTGAGTTTTCCTCCTGTATGAGTGTGTATTAATTCATCTACTGGCTTCATATTAACATTGAGTACATTGGATACTCACTTTTCCATTCTTGTGATACCTTACTCAGAAGAATGTGTTTCAACTCCATCCAGGTTAATACAAAAGACGTAAAGTCTCCATCTTTTGATGGCCGAATAGTATTCCACGGCATAAGTATACCACAGCTTCTTAATCCATTCCTGTTTGGTGGGCATTTAGATTGTTTCCACATCTTGGCAATTGTGAATTGAGCTGCAGTAAACAATCTAGTGCAAATGTCCTTCTAATAAAATGATTTTTTTTTTTCTGGGGAGATGCCTACTTCTGGGGTTCTGGGATCCAAACATTAGACCATCTCACTTCTTAGTTCTGGCAACTGAGAGAGGATCTTTTCCTTCTACTTTTTCTCCTGTAGGAATAAATGATTTTTAGATATTTAGTCCTCTGCATTAAAGATAGCCTCCCAATTCTTAAGTGCAAATATGGGAGTTTGAGACAACCTAAGTCTGGGAAGGTTAAACCAGGATCAGACACTCCACCTCAAAACCCCTACGGCAAGAGAGATAGATTGGGCAGTTGGAGGGGAATCAATACCCAGGGAAATTTCAAACGCACTAAGCATCAGGGGATGCAGTTATTCTTGGAGAAATAGAAATACTGACTTGCCTTTAAAATAGGTAAATCAATAAATATTAACAGCAACAGCTGTACCACTGTGATCAGATCCTACTGGGAAAAATGTCATTGCATTTAGCCTTTGGTGTTAGCATTAACCTATAGGCAATTTGGCTTTCTGGGGTTTTCTGTCTCCCATCTACTATCTTTACTCTCCAAGATCCTATGTCCTGTTAACCCCCTCTTTCCAAATGCCTGCAATTTTATGCCACTTATAGGTTTCCGCCACCTCTTAGAACTATCAAAAGTTACCTGTTCAGGCCTCCTTTCCTGAGGGTTTTAGTGGGTGCAAGCATGTTATTGGTGGCACAGTGCCTTGATCCTACTAAAGGAATATTTGGCAGCAGAAAGTCTTCCACTGAATAAGCAAATACCAGTCAGAAAGCTCCCAGATGTTCAGCTCTCTAAACAATCAAAGGGAATGGACTGTTCATGATCCCCACTTCCAGCGATCCCCAAGCCTGCCACCAACAAGCAGGGGACACACCAGAAGGAGAGTGTTTTGATGTCAATGGCTGGCATCAATACATCCTCCCTCCAGCTTGTAAAGGGGCTGCAGAGTCATAAAACCTCATGACAATGGGTCACCAGAGGCTCCAGCTCCATGGAGCCTGTGACACCTGACTTCTTTTAACTTTGTGAGCAAGTTAAATTGTGGTGCCAAAGCACTGACAGGCACAGAGCAATGTCTGTGTGGGCCAGTTGTGCTCACTGCCATGGCCAGTGACCAGGTCTGTGACTTGAACCCATCAGATTTCCCACTGGCCTTGGTTGGAGGGAGCAGAGTGTGTGCACGGATCTGTGCAAACTCAACCCGAGGCCTGCAGAAATAGCACCATCCCTACAGACAACTGCTGGCGGCTGCCTCTGGATGTGCCAAGACTCACACTGGAGAGACTGGATGGAGCTGTGCAGGAAGGGGTGTGTCTGTGGCCAAGGTCATTGCACAACAAATGTGACCTATGCGCCATCTCCCCACCCGTCCCACCCATTCCAGGAGAAAGTCCTCCCCCAGCAAGAGGACTTCCCCCTAGCTGGACTGTCTCAGTTAGTGCACAATAACTGACACTTCTGAGTAGTGCACACACAGTTTCAGAAATTTAATATATTAATTAACACGCTGAAAACATTTTGATTTCTAAGCAGCTTTAAGTACCATTCTTTCCAAGAGGTGTTTAAAACAATGTAAGTAGGAAGGCAAACAAGACATTCACAGAAAAACCCTCCCCTAAAGGTCAGTCCTTCCATTAAGTTGGAAGATGAGGTGCTGGCTGTCAGGGACGGGAAGACCAGCAGTGCTGCGACTCTGGGGCCGCCTCCCATTTCTTTCTCTTTCCCACTTTTTTTTTAAGACATAGCATTTCAGTACAAACCCTAGACAGAGAAAAGAAACTTTTTCTTCTCTGAAGCACTATCAGTATGTCCCTTTCTAGACAGATTCTGCACCTTCCAACTCCCCCTTGCCCTCTTGGAAAAGCAGGAAATACACTTTTGACAGATTTGTAGCCCTTAACCAATCCGCTACAGATTAAAAGAAATAACACCACCACTTTCCACTCAAGCATTCCGTCTTACAAGAAGGCGTTCATCGAGATTCTGGAGTGTGGCGTTAGCCTCCCCTGGAACTGTTCTTCGTGTTAACAGTCTTTCTTACGTCATTCATGGGTTAGTTCATCCCCTAACTCAGGAGACAATTTTTCCATTGATAAAAGTCAACATTAAAATAAAAGTGGAGTCTTTCTTATTGGTAGAATCAGAAGGATAGTACTATTCTTCCTGGATCCTACTTAAAGCTCATGACTTCTTTAGAGAGATTTTAAAACATATCTTGTTTGGCCTGTCCGTGAGACTTTTGATGATTTTGCCTGTTCCCTTCAATACCAATCTCAAATAATCACATTCAAGATTCCAGGAAAGCTTCTGTAGCTCCCATGTGCCAGTTTTCTGTAAATGCATCGCAAGTTCCAGTATGTAGCCTTGTAGAGCTCTGTGTCTCGTATGATTGTGGTTATGTGGCTCATGGGGTCATTGTGCTGGTAGACTCTGGGGGCTCCCTTTCTTTCGTACCTCCAAATTGTCTATTGCTTCACAATGCTTATGGTCCCTGGGTACCTCACTGGCTTCGCTTTACTTGTGTTGAAAAGCTACTGCTACATCTTGGTGTCATCTGTTTCATTGACTTCTGACAAGATGAAGTTGGGGTTGTCGTAGCCTCTCTTCACCCGGGCTCTGGCGTCTTTCTCATTATAAAGGCACATGGCACAGTGAGGGGTCTCCACCTCCACTGTCTTGCTAAAGTTATGGAAATCTACACGGTATTTCCCTTCCTTGGTCTTGGATACTATGGGAGCAAATCGGTAGCCCCATAGAACCTCCTCTGGGACATAGGAGGTCCGGACTTGGCAGGTGGCACTGGTTGATTCCACTGTGCCATCTAAAAACACCACTAGCTCAAAGTCCTGCTGGAGAAGGGTCTCTGCTGCCATGTTGAAGAAGGGGCTGTTGTGATCAATGATGTGGTAAATTGTCAGTGGGGAGATGAAGAATAAATTTTCATTCCCAGCATCAACTACAAAGTTGATATTGGTCTGATCCAAAATAATGGTCTCTCCTTCTGGAGTGACTGTGGTCTTCAAAAGCTTTCCATAGATGTGACTGCCAATAAGAAGGCTCTTCCTTAGATTGGCCACTCGGATTAGGAGGCAAAGCTTCCCGCCTCGCTTGCTGATCACTGCGTTCTTGCTGAACGTAATGGTCTTGGCACGTTTTTTGGGTCTGGAGATCTTGGCTAAGATGGCACCACACATGAAAGAATTGATAATGACACCAAGTATAGATTGGAAGATAAGCAGAAAGATGGCAGTGGCACATTGTTCCGTCACACACCTGAATCCATACCCAATGGTCACTTGAGTTTCCAGAGAAAACAGAAAAGCTGAGGTCAAGCCGTTGATGTTCTCCACGCAGGGGGTGTGATTGGCAGCAGGGTGGAACTCTGGGAGGTCTCTGTGAATATAGGCCACCACGTACCACAGGAGACCAAAGAGAAACCAACTCCCCAAGAAAGCTGTGATGAAAATGGTCATTTTGTACCTCCACTTGAGGTCAAGCACAGTTGTCCAGATGTCCACGAAGAATATAAATCTTGACTGTGCCTCCACATTGCCAAACTCTATGTTGCACCTGCCATCTTTGGAGACCAGCCTTGCTCTTTGCCGAGAACGCCCAAAAAATCGAGTGACAAACTGTTTCCGGAGGTGTTTGAACATCCTTTCTGTCAACACCCTGATCTGAAAAGACATCAAAGAAAATTTTTAAAGTAATTATATTTATAGCAGTAATGAGTTAGGTGACTCACATAAGGGCCTAACTATATATAAAAAGATCTTCAAAACTATCTGGCTCACTGATCATTTGGGCAAGCTGACAAGTTTATTCTGGATACCACAATGCTATTTCCAACAGAAATTTTCCACAGGAGGGCAATATTATTCAAATATAAAAAGGCAAAATAATGACAGAGCCATAGAAAAGGAAACTAAAAGATCATATATTCAAGGGTTTCCTAACCTCAGTTAGTCACATACAACCTTAAAAAATGTCCATGGTGGCTCGGCACCTATAGCTCAACCGGCTAAGGCACCAGCCACGTACACCTAAGGTGGCGGGTTCGAATCCCCAGCCTGGACCCGCCAAACAACAA